GCCGAGGTCCCAGGCCGCAGCCGTTTTTGGCGTATGGATGGCGTGGGGGAGAGGGGCGTTGGGGAGAGGACCTGGATCTCCCTCTATGGACCTGTGAATTCCATGGCCTCCCAAGACTGTTATAGACTTTTTCCATGGATTTTCTAGGCACGGTTATGCCCGCCACGGACCATCATGCACCCACCCCTGTGAGCCCCAATGCACTCCATGGACCTGCTATGACCGTCCATGATTGGACCATATGGACCCTACAAGGCCTCCAATGAACCGGTAACTCCTATGGACTCCTCTATGGAACCCTGGACCTTCATGCTCCCCATGAACCCCTATACACTACGAACCTATGCGCTTATGGACCGTTCTGACCCCTGCACCCCATGCAATCCCCATGCACTTATGACTCGCTATGGATGCGAAGGCTTCGATGCACCTACATGCCCAAGAGTCCGACATGGACGCCCCACCCCCAACTATGGGATATGCATGGACCTATGGGCTCAATGGACCTGCTGTCCGATGATATGCCTAAGTCCGTATGCGCCTTCATGGATCCTGTATGACCTTTATGGACCTCCTAGGAACCTTGATGGCCTCCCCTATGGACTCCCGATGCACCTTTGGACTGCTATGGACCCACATGACCCTTCGTGGATGGCCTATGGACCTTTATGGACCACGATGACCCCATATAAATCCTCAAAAACTTCCTCCCCTCTCTAGACCCAATGCCTACATATGGAATGCTCATGGACCCCGATTCGGACATGCACCTCCTATTGAACCTTTATCCCTATCTACCTCCATGGGCCCCAATCTGCCGAGGCCTCGGGCCGGAGCTGTCTGGGTAACATAAAGCAGCATGCCCAAATTGCACCCCTTTATTTAGCACTTTCTGTCTGGAACGGGCCACCCCCCCCACAGGCGGTGCATCAGGACAAAAGAGTCCTTCCCCTCTCCCACCCCCCGAACCCAGCCCCCCAACACCCCCCGCCCGCCACACCCCAACCCAGGCCTTCCGCTATGGCGCGGGTTTGAGGTTAAGAGCCACTTGCACATTCACATTATCTAGAAAACCTCCTGAACGCTGCGGACTCGGCAGGCCCCGGCCTCGGGACGCGTAGCGTTGAAATCCGCCGAGGCCTTGGTTCCAAATCCTCCCGTAGGCGACCGGGGTCTGAAAGGGGACGGTTTGCGGGGCTCAATGCTGTAGGGTTTGACGCCAAACCCCCCCCCCCTGTCTGGCAGGCAGCCAGCCCACCCTTTCGGGCTTAGTCCCATTTATTTAGAGATGGGTATGTTTTGGGTATGTGTTATAGGGAGCAGACGGTGCAGGCCACGTCCCTCCTCTGCGGGAGCTGCATTGGGCCAGGCCGAGGCGGGTCGCGTAGCGTTAAAATTACACCCCAATGGACGTTTTTAGAACTTCATGGGATAAACCTCGACAAGTCGCGCTAGTTGCGTTTCGGGTGCGTGGGATTGTCTTGGATGTGTTTCGGGTGCGTGGGGTTTTTTGGGTGATTCCTGTGTGTTGTTTCGTTTTTCGTTGGGGTTTGCTTCTCTCTCGCACCCCTCTACGCCAATGCCTAAACCGAAACCGCGGCGCTTCGGCTGGTCCACGCAGGAAGTTTAGAACCTTTAGAACTTCTAGAACTTTTTGAACTTTTAGAACTTCTAGAACTTTTAGAACTTTCAGAACTTTTAGAACTTTTAGAACTTCTAGAACGTTTTGAACTTTTAGAACTTCTAGAACTTTTAGAACTTCTTGAACTTTTTTTACCTTGTAGAACTTCGCGCCAAAGGGTCGGTTTGCCCACACCCAAGCCGTCCAGCATAGGGTTTAGGAATTAGGGTCTAGGATTTAGGGTTTGGGGTTTAGGGTTTAGGGCTGAGGGTTTAGGGTTAGGGTTTATGGTTTAGGGTTTAGAGGTTAGGGTTTGGGGTTTAGGGTTTAGGGTTTAGGGGTTAGGGTTTAGGGTTTAGGGTTTAGGGTCTAGGGTCTAGGGCCTAGGGTCTAGGGTCTGGGGTCTAGGGTCTAGGGCTTAGGGTTTAGGGTTTAGGGTCTAGGGTTTAGGGTTTAGGGTTTAGGGATTAGGGTTTAGCGTTTAGGGTTTAGGGTCTAGGGTCTAGAGTCTAGGGTCTAGGGTTTAGGGTCGCGCCTGCACACCTCCAGACAAAGAGCACGGGCAACCCGCCCCCTTCCAAAATTCCGGAACCCAGCGAAAACCACAGAGGGTGGTCGTTTATTAAAAAAAGGAGGAAAACAACAATGTTTGCGAACGTCCTAACTCCGGAAACATCGCGCCTGCGCATGTTTTGTATACCTCCAGAAAAAGAGCGTGGGCAAACCGCAGCTTTGCACATTAGAACTTGTAAAACTTTTAGATCTTTTAGAATTAGAACTTGTAGGACTTTTTGAACTTCTAGAACTTGTAGAACTTCTGAACCTTCTAAACTTTTAGAACGTTTAGAACTTTTAGAACCTTACAACTTTTAGAACTTTCTGGCAACTTTTAAACTTCTTTACAGCACTTAGAACGTTTACAACTCTTGGGAAACTTCCAAAAGTTCTAGAAGTTCAAAAAGTTTTAAAAGTTCTACAAATTCTAAAGCCGCCGGGAAACGTTGCAACACCAGGAACGTGCTGTAGAACACCTGGAACTTTTACAACTTGCAGAACTTTTAGAACTTCTAGGACTTGTTATAACTTCTAGAACTTTTAGAACTTATAGAACTTATAGAACTTTTAGGGGTTCTGGAACTTTTAGAACTTCTAGAACTTCTGAAACTTCTAGAACTTTGCGAACTTTTAGAACTTCTAGAACTGTTGGAACTTCTAAAGCTTCCAGAACTTTCAGAACGTGTAACAGATGCCAAAACCACGAAAAATCACAGCTGAAACCCCATACGCCCGAAATTCCGGAACCCAGCGAAAACCGCAGAGGGTGGTCGTTTATGAAAAAAAGAAGGAGAACAAAAAACAATGTTTGCGAACACCGTCCTAACTCCGGAAACATCGCGCCTGCGCATGTTTTGTGTACCTCCAGAAAAAGAGCGCGGGCAAACCGCAGCTTTGCACCGTATAGAACTAACTTTTAGAACTTGTAGAACTTGTAGGACTTTGTGAAATTCTAGAACTTGTAGAACTTCTGAAACTTTGAAACTTTTAGAACGTTTAGAACTTTTACAACTTTTTGAACCTTACAACTTTTAGAACTTTCTTGCAACTTTGAAAATTCTTTACAGCACTTAGAACGTTTACAACTCTTGGGAAAATTCCAAAAGTTCTAGAAGTTCTAGAAGTTCTAGAAGTTTTAAAAGTTCTAAAAGTTTTAAAAGTTCTACAAATTCTAAAGTCGCCGGGAAACGTTGCAACACCAGGAACATGCGGTAGAACACCTGGAACTTTTAGAACTTGCAGAACTTTTAGAACTTCTAGGACTTGTTATAACTTCTAGAACCTTTAGAACTTATAGAACTTATAGAACTTTTAGAGGTTCTGGAACTTTTAAAAACTTCTAGAACTTCTGAAACTTCTAGAACTTCTAGAACTTTTAGAACTTTTAGAACTTTTAGAACTTTTAGAACTTCTAGAACTTCTAGAACTTTTAGAACTTCTAGAACTTTCAGAACTGTTAGAACTTTTAGAACTTTTACAACTTTTAGAACTTTTTGCAACTAGTAGAACTGTTGGAACTTCTAAAGATTCCAGAACTTTCAGAACGTGTAACAGATGCCAAAACCACGAAAAATCAAAGCCGAAACCCCATACGCCCGAAATGCCTCCAAGACATTCCCATACGCCCCAAATGCTTCCAACCCGACAAGTCCACCATAGGTCTCGTTTTGGACCCTCTGTGGACCTCCTAGAGGACGCTATAGGAAAGGCTGCGGCGAACGGCCCTCTTCAAAAACCGGGCAGGTCGCGCCTAGATCGGCCGTGATAGCATTAGTAGCATTCATATGCTTGACTCTTGACTCCGCAAGGGTGCGGTCGCTTTCCGATCTGAGCCATGCAACAATCCGGGCACTCTACTTGCTCAGATCCACCCCAGCCATCGGATTTCGTGATGGATGCGGTGTTTGTTTCTTCGGGGGACTCAGGCCCATGCATGCAAAGGCTTAATGGCTCAATGACCGAAAAGAATCAAGTCCAGCAAACAACCGTTGCAGAAAGGATCTGTAAACATTGACAACCATCTCCAAGGAAGGAGATTGAGATACACACATACAAAATGAAACTCGCCTCGTCCCTGGCCATGCGCACCCCCGTGCCCCCCTTCGTTCAAATTGTAGGCTGTTGCACGGAGAAACAAAGCCCCCACGCGATGGGACTGGAGCTCCTCAGCCTGAGCCACCAAAGCTCAAGCCACGGGCGCGAAGATTTTGTTGTTTTCGACCCCCAACCCCACCACGAACCCGACCCCTTCGTTCGTATCTTTTCGGGATGAAAGGCTGCAGCCACTTGGTGCAGGGCCCAGGCCGGACAGAGCCGCCAGGCCATGAGTAACATCTGGATACATCTGGCAAGCAACCTTTGTGGCATCATCGCTTGGACCTCCTAGCAGGCAGGATTGCGGCAGCATGTAGACAGATGGAACAGAGGCAACTGGTCAAAAACTGCACAGCTGCCCGTCCTTCAGCCATCCCTTGGACATGCAGGCCCGCGAGCAGCCGCAATGGGAAATGCGACGAGGACTCTAGATCCAAGCACACCGTGCAGATCGGACCAGTCTCGTAGGAGTTTCGAGCGCATTTGATTTGCTTCTGCTGTCTTCTGTTCGTTGCCTTAAAACTTACAAGTGTGCAACGAAGCTGCAAGCAGTTTCAGCCAACGTCAATCTCACGGCACCATCTAGTCAGGCTCAAAGCGTCAGCAGCGTCACAAAGTGCACGAAAGCAACTCATTCAGCCTAGGCCCTAGCCCGACGAATCAACAGAGCACCTCTTGACGCCCTGAAAATGTGAGCCGACTCGCCGACTCGTATCTTCACGAGACCTGCCTGCTTGTCGTGCTCTCCTGTTGCCAAGTATGCAGCCGTCAGCAACTTGAGAACCTGGGCAGTTTTGATCTCAAGTGTGCCTGTGGACCTCATGACCCTAGGCCTCTGGTTCCTGGCGCAACTGTTGCGGTGCCTGGCCGCTGAAGAACGAGACATGTAACCAACATCCGCTATGTTTCTCTATCCTTGGACCGTGGCCTCTGGCTACCACTTGTGTCAACTGATGGTCACAGATCGTCGGATACCAACTCCGAGCATGTTACAGCCCCATGCCTGCTCGAGGACGGTCACGGCATTGGAAAATGATCGCTCGTGGACCAGGCATTGTGCAAAGTTGTAAACCTCTGCCCCGCGTTGCTGAAGTAGGGGGAGCACTCAGAGCAACACATCCAAGGCACTCCCACGAGGTGGTCAGGGTTGGTCTGGACGCATTTCTTGTACAAGTCCCTTGCCTTGCTGGGAGTGTTGAAACAGTGAAACATAATGTGATATTCGATCAACCCCGATAGAGCTGATGGTGCAGCCGCCTCGGCGAAACGGCCTTGGGCATGTTCCAGTCTCCCCAGTTGATAATTCACCTTCAAAGCAAGTCTCTTCTTTCAGATGCAGCTGAGCAATCGAACTTGAGGCTGCAACCTCGGCAACTACCTGGGGCAAATCGCTGATCTTCAAAGCCCTGCAGGACTGTGTCAAACATCCACACACATTGCACAGTTCTCGAACGATACCCAACTCATCCTTTGCGGCTCACATGTGACATTATGTGTTTTATGTGTTTCTTGCGGTTCCGAGATGCGAGGGAAGGATGTGGTTCTATGGACAGTGTGGTTTCTGGATGTTTCAAACAGAAAACAGCTTTGTCATCATCCGAGCTGGCTCAAGCTCCAGCTTTCCGAAATAGAAAACATGAAGCTTCCCCTGGAATGAATCTTGCTGAAACAGACTACAAAGTTGCTCTCAGCCTTCGGAGCAAGTCCTCAGCCAACCGCCAGGAATCTGGGGCCTGGTCAAGCTTGCGCTTTGCGTATCTTTGCGTCATGTTTCATCGTACGTGTGCCGTGCATGGCTGGTTTTATTGAAATAGACGGTTAAAGAAAAGAAGAAACTGGAAATTCTGGTATTGTAAGTCACAGTTTAGGTTCAGCATCGGGACAACAAATAAACAATGATTATGGGAATGTATTCAGAAGTCGTAGCTATGGTTCTCCTTATGTATCAGGACAACGACCAAAAGACACTGGGACAAAACATATGAATACGGAAAGTAGAAGACCCCGTTAGTATGTTTGAAAAAGGAAGTATAACATCAAAGAAATCAACATTAGACCCTCTACAAAAACATCCTTATGAAGATATAGGCAATATTAAAAACAAAGCAGGACATCTACCTATAACCGAAGAAGAGTGTTTAACAACAGTTTGATGCCATAATCATTTCATAAGAAAGCAACAACATACGAGCAAATAGAGACATCGAAGATAGAGAAGCAATTTAAACAACATGCTTACGAAGAGATAAGAAAGTTAGTTGAGAATAATTAAGTAGATGAAGCAGTTAAGCAGGTGAAAGGTAGGAAGAAGAATAATAGTAAGACACTTCATATAGTTTTGAATTACTTGATTGAATACAAGTATGTATATGAAATCAAATTATCTATGCTATTTATATATCATGGAAACTTTTAGTCCCGCAGATATCCTCATTGATAGTTTAAGTTTTCTTTGACACAAAGGTAGTTCTTATGTTAATTGTCAAGGGTTTAAGACCAAAACGATTGTTGGATTTAAACCATTGCGTGGCCTCTTCTCACAAGTTAGATATTTGCCGTCAAAAAATATGGGAAACTTACCAATTGAAATAGAATTGGTAACTAATGCTACTAATTGTACCAATTACCGCAGTCAGAATATCAAGAGATTTCGGGAAAACTCGAGCCGGCTCGAATTTTCCGAAAAATCTCCAGGCACCAGGTCACCACAACTCGAGCAGGCTCGAATTTTCCCAAAAAAACCTACATTCTGTCATCTATGAGACCTTGGGGTCACACAGCCATGGTTTCAGCATATTTTTTAGAAAATTCGAGCCGGCTCGAATTTTCCGAAAACTCTTGAAGCTCCAGGTCTCGAAGACTCGAGCAGGCTCGAATTTTCCAAAAAAACCTAAATTATGTCATCTATGAGGCCTTGGGGTCACACAGCTATGGTTTCAGCATTTTTTTTAGAAAACTCGAGCCGGCTCGACTTTTCCGAAAATTCTTGAAGCTCCAGGTCTCGAAAACTCGAGCAGGCTCGAATTTTCCAAAAAAAACCGAACTTTCAGGATCTACCGGGCTGCTGGAGCCATAGATCCTGAAATTTAGGTTTTTTTTGGAAGATTCGAGCCTGGTCGTGTTTCGGCAATCTACTGTGTCAGTTTTTTTTGGAAAATTCGAGCCGGCTCGAATTTTCCTAAAATTCTTGAAGCTTTAGGTCCCAGAAACTCGAGCAGGCTCGAATTTTCCAAAAAAAACCGAACTTTCAGGATCTACCGGGCTGCTGGAGCCATAGATCCTGAAATTTAGGCTTTTTTTGGAAAATTCGAGCCTGGTCGTGTTTCGGCAATCTACTGTGTCAGTTTCTTTTGGAAAATTCGAGCCGGCTCGAATGTTCCTAAAATTCTTGAAGCTTTAGATCCCAGAAACTCGAGCAGGCTCGAATTTTCCAAAAAAAACCGAACTTTCAGGATCTACCGGGCTGCTGGAGCCATAGATCCTGACATTTAGGTTTTTTTGGAAAATTCGAGCCTGCTCGTGTTTGGGCGACCTACTGTGTCAGTTTTTTTTTGGAAAATTCGAGCCGGCTCGAGTTTTCTAAAGAAGCATGATTTTTTCGGGTATTTTTCGACCTTGTTGGTGTAAATGACCTGCCTGACTTGAAATGATATACGTTTTTATCGGCACTGTCGGTGTTTTTGTCGCTAGCTCATAGCCCCCTCTCCTCCCAAGATCCATCTGTTTCGAAGCAGAAACGTGGATCATGGGGGGGGGCGTGAGCATATATATATACGTATACATATATATATATATATGTAAAGGACTTGTACAGTTGCATACCCAAAGTAACTTCTGAAGCACTGAGCGCATGGAATCGGATGAGAAAAGAGCAGCCGCTTGATGTTGAGATGGTGGCAAAATTCAATCCGGTCCCGAGACTTGGCAGACGGAGCTGTTCAGCAAACTCACTTGGATTTATGCTCGTCTTGTACACTTTTGGTCTAGGGTTTCCGATTAACATGCAGAGGAAATGTAGGTTTTTCGATTGAAATGCAGAGGAAATCCGCACTACGAGTAGTACTCTTCATGGCAAGATCCTTGTTATACAGCAGGCTTCCGAGGCTTCAAAAGACATGAACCAAAAACGGGGTGGGAGGGTACGCAAAATCTCACTGTGCAATTTGCATCGAAAAAGGCGGGAACGCGACACCTTGATGGACATGGCTCTTCAAAAACCTACAGTCTATTTTGGCCTGAAATGGGTACCCCCCTAGCCAACAAGTGTCCGGGAGCAAACGGTGCATCAGGACCAGGGGCACTTCAACTCTGCCCCCCCCCCCCGTCTTACGGTGAGGGGAAGGAACAACAGGGGCAACAGGCCGCCCCCCCCCGCGTGGCCGGCGTAAATAGGGTTTATTTGGAAGCTGGCACTCGGGTTTTATTATTGCCATACACGAACCCACGAGGGCACGGTCCTGTCACGTCAGTCGTACTATGCTGGCCTCAGGGATAAGAACCAAGGTAGGACGAACATGTAAGTTCCTTTTCTCTCTTCTCTTTTTCTTTTCAGCAATCTCACTCCCTCTCTGCTTCAGCAAATATATTTCTTTGTAGTTCTCCCGTAAGTTCTCTCAACCTCCTCCTCCTCTTCCAACTTTACGAGACATACCACTCAGAGAAGAAAAGAAACCCCTCTCGGGCTCTCTTTTTTCTTTCAACGGGCTTGAGGGCAACAGCAAGGGTTTTCCCTGCCCCCCACGCTGCAAGCTCTCTCTCTCTCTCTCTCTCTCTCTCTCTTTCTCTCTCTCTCTCTCTCTCTCTCTCTCTCTCTCTCTCTCTCTCGTATGTCTCGTAGGACTGGTACGGGAGGAGGAGGGTGAGAGGATGAAAAGGAAGAACTACCAAGAGAGAGATTTGAAGAAGGAGAGGGGGAGGAGACAAGGCGAGACATTGAGAGAAGCATAGACCGTGTTTCTTTCTTGCTAAAGAGAAAGAGAAAAGACAAGGCAGAGGAGGAGATTACATCTGCTTTCTACCTTGCTCCTCCCTCTTCTCTTCGCCCCGTCGCTCTTGCTCTCGCTCTTGGTCTCGTTCTTTCTTTCTCGGCCTCTCTCACACTCCATCTCTCTTTCTCTCTCTCGCTCTCTGGTGGGGAAGAAAGAAGAGTGAGGAGATGGTGAGAACAAGGTGATGTCCCCCTTTCTCTCCTATGTTCTTGTCTAAACAGAAAACGAGACAAGGGGAAAACCAAGAACGCTCCCACGGTCTATGCTTCTCTCCATGCCTGGCGTTGTCTCATTCCCTCTCTCCTTCTGCAAATCTTTTGGAAGCTGATGAACGTTTGTTTGTGCGGGCAGGTGCCTCCAGGGGCTGCCTTCATCTCATTCAGCATTCCCGTACCACTTTGAGAGAAAAAATGAGGAGATAGAGAAAGAGAGACAGGGTCAGGGGGCAGAAAAGAGGGGGGCAAGTTCTCTTTATGCCTCGCCCTGTCGGACTCCCTCTCTGCTTCTTGTAGCTCACCCTCCTCTCCGTCTTCCAATTCTACAAGACATGCCGCCCATAAAAGAAAAGAAAAAAGAGAGCGAGAGAGAGGGAGACAGAACGAGCGAGTGAACCGGAAGAAGAAAGGAACAAGGCAGGAAGACATGCAAACTCCTTTTCTCTCTTCTCTTCTTATCCTTCTCTTTAAAAAAACTGATCGGGAGCATAAGCTTTTCCAAAATCTTAGTGGGACGGTGCTTGCGATTTGTCTTTTGGGAGCACAGATTCTTTCAAAATCTTAGGGGACAGCACTTGCCAATTGTATGTTGGGCGCATAACTTCTTGGAGAATCTTAAGGGGACGGACAGTGCTCGCGATTTGTCTGTTGGGAACATAAATTCTCTAAAAATCTTAGGTCTTCGGCCTGCTTTCTTTCAAGGTTTCCAAAAAATGGAGGTCTCCGGCGTGGGCGTCCTTTTAAGGTCGGTCTTGTTACAGAAAAAAGAAGAACAGGACACCCTAATTTTGAATACATGTCACATCATGTCTTTCATAAAATTTCCTTCTTGCGCAAAGAAAAAAGACGAATGGAAGGCCGCAGTGGAAAAGGGAGCGCCTTTCCTTCAAGGCTTCCAAAACATCGGAGTCTCCGGTGTGGGTGTCCTTTTAGGGTGGGTTTTGCTACAGAAACAGGAAGAAAAAGGACACCCGAAGAACTCTCAAAATCTTGGACACCCCGCTTGGAATATAGTTTAAACATTTCATACTAAAGAAAACAAATTTCAAGGTTTCCATAAAATTTGTGTCTCCGGTGTGGGTGTTCCTTTCAGGTGGGTTTTGCTACAGAAAAAAGAAGAAAAGGACACCCTAATTTTGGATACATGTAACATGATGTCTTTCTTTTTTCCTCTTGTGCAAAGAAATAAGACGAAAGGAAGGCCACAGTAGAAAAAAGGGAGCGCCTTTCCTTCTAGGTTTCCAAAACATTGGAGTCTCCGGTGTGGGTGTCCTTTTCAGGTGGGTTTTAAAAAGGAAGAAAAGGACACCCGAAACACTGTAACAAACTTGGACACCCATCTTTAAAGTGATCTACACATATCCATACTTAAATAAAAGGGTGACAGAAAATAAAACGAACAAAAGGTGAGAGTGGACAAACAAGCACCTTCTCTTTCAATTTTTCCAAACAATAGAGGTCTCCGGAGTGGGCGTCCTTTTAAGGTGGGTTTTGCTACAGAACAGGGAAGAAAAGAACGCCCGAAAGACT